TCAACAGACAGTCCGAGAGCAGTTCTTCAACCCTTAGACAAACCTTCCAAACAGAAAAATTCTTTGTACGATCTTGATATCGCAATTCCCCGATTTAACCGAAGTTGTTTACTGTCGTGATACATTGTCAGTCGCATTTTCTGTCCATGGGTTGAGTACCTACTCTTAGCCGCTTTCACACGCGGGTTATCCATATATAAAATAAACCCAATCGTGAAGCCATACGTAAACATGACAGGGGTTTTTCAGAAAGAATTCATTGCTACTGCTGCTCTTAAAACGGATGCACTTAGGTCTTTTGTATTGCAAACAAGAAATTGTGACGATGGCACGGTACGTCGCCGGCGTGGGGCGTCCCCGGGGAATGAAACGTGACAGCAGTAACTGGCAGAGTGCAGGCGCGGAAGATCTAATATGTGAGATGTATGGAATTGCTTGAATACAGTCTCCAGCAATGAACATAAGACGTTCGGCTGCCCCCGAGGTTATGTGCATTTCACGTGAGTGGTAAGGGCATATCGTGGCCACTGCTGCTTATAAGAGATCGGTTATTTGCGAACTCCGATCGATTGGCGCACGGTTATTGCTGAATTTTCCCGTTTCAAACATCATTTCTGTTCGTCTACACTGCAATGCTGCCTTACAGTGTTACACTACCTTTCTGCGTTCGATTTAATCACGTGCGGGTGCGATATTTTTACAGCGTTTCTATAAATACACGTAATTCGTAAACGTAGTAAAAAAAGCCACGTCCACGTGACCTCACTGACCTCTACGGCCCTGCAATAACCTTCCCTAATGACATCACACGACTAGATGACCTTAGCGTGACTATGGTGGAGGCCGCAAGACCAATATGCAATCGAGGAGGCCCGTTGGTGGAAACATCATTAATAGTTATGGCTATCATAACTCTGAAAAATGTCATAACTTTTTTAAATGAATTTTGTCGTGCAAAATTTATGACGTTTCAGACTTATAATGTCATAACAACTTATGATGTTTCTAACAACGGCCCCACGGACGGCCGTGTCATATCCACTTGTCACTGTCGCAAGCTAACCATCAGTGTTAAAATTCGGTGTAATATATATATATATATATACTATATCTACTAGGTGGGTGGAGTGAGGTGATATAGTATTACTATGTTATATATTTACCGGATTTTAACATTGATTGATCTGCAAATATAATGATACACATGAATTAACATTGATTATAATATTGATATATAACATCAATACTATATACTATTTTATATACTATATATATACATATATATACCGGTTATGATGGCACGAATATTAACGTGTGATGATCGATGCACGTCCAGCGAGAGTCAGAGTCGCATCAAGCAAATCATCGACTAGTCTGTCGTTGGGAGGAAATGGAGCGGAATCGTGTGAAAGGCAGGAGGAGTTCACCATTCTGTGTCTCCGCGCATCCGTCGCCCTCATGCTCACGAGATCCCGCTAGAACGCTGAGCGTCGGCGATCTCGGTCTCTGAATGTCTCTTTGTAGAAGAGAGAGAGAGAGAATGAGAGGAAGAGAGTGAGAAAGTGAAGAGGGTGTGTGAGAGAATGAAGAGACGAGAGAGAGAGAGAGAGAGAGAGAGAGAGAGAGAGAGAGAAGTGCGAGCAGAGTCGACAGAGAGCAGAATGAATGAGAGTGAGATGTGATAGTGGATGTGTGTGATGAGAGAGAGAGAGGACAACAAAACAAGAGGCAGATGAGAGAGAGCAAACGCAAGTCAGAGAAATGAAAAGCACGATCGCAGGAGAGACAAGGATGAGGCGGAACGTGTAGTGTGTGATAGATATAGTGAATATAATGTGATATGTATAATAGTAGAATAATGTAAGTAGAGTGATAACAGTGAGTAGAGTGCGTAAGCCGTACCGAGTAGGTGCGATAAGTGGCGTGCGGTGCGTGCGTGCGTGGTGCGTGCGTGCGTGCGTGCGTGCGTTGAGAGAGAGAGAGAGGAGAGAGAGAAGAGAGAGAGAGCGTCGAAGCGAGGGAGAAGAGCTCGCGCGCGCCCATTTTTCGCGTGACTCTACACGTCTCTCGCTGCTATCTCTCTCGGATGCTGCCGGCCGGCAAGCTGCTACCAAGCTCACGGATCAACACACCATCATCTCTCGTGCACCCCCCCCCCCCTATACCACCCCAGCTGTGTATACGCACGTACGCGACCGCGGCGGCGTGGTTTCGTGCACGGACTTACTACGGCATTACATCTCGTTTCTCGCGTCGAGCGCGTATCACCCATCTATTCCAGCCAGCAAGCCAGCCAGCAGCAGGCCAGTCAGTCAGCAGCAGCGAGCGAGCGAGCGGCGAGCCAGCTCGTAACACATACATCAGGAGTAGATCTTCATCTACTCCTGCATACATGTTACATTCTGGCGGAAGTATGCACTCTCCGTGAGTGCCCTCTGTCTAGTTTTATTAATGACATCGGCTAAAGCTCGAACGCGTTTTCCCGGTGAGACGGCGACGGACGCGGAGACTGACAGACGAGCTTAATACGTGTTAGTATATGTTCGTGGCGATTGCAGCGTGACCGTGTAATCACCGTAGTAATGCATGGCCAGCCACGTTTATCATATTTTAGAATATTATTTCTCATGTTCAGCGCTGGGTAGCGAAGAATTGACAGCATGTGAAATCTGCAATGCTCATGGCTGAATGAATGTCAGAATGGCGATATAAGCCTATGTGAATACGGCACTACGTGGTTAATGCGGCCATTGCACGTGTTTAAAGCCCGGCGCACACGTGAGTAATTTTACTCAAGTAAAATGATGCATGCGTCAAAATACTCACGCGAAACATTTTCAGCGTGCGCCGCACACGTGAGTAAAATTACTCAAGGTATAAGTGGTAATGTAGATCACGTGACTGTGCGCAGCCAATACTGGGCGCAGTTATCTTTAAAACGATTTAAACGCATGCGCGGTGAGTACCAGTGTTGAGTAAATTTACGCAGCTAGCGAGCACACGTTGAGTATTTTGACGCATGAGTAAAAAATTATCAAACATGTTTGATATTGAGTTTCTTGATGCATGCGTCAGAAAGCTCAACGAAAATCCGGCGCACCCGTGAGTATTTTGACGCATGCATTATTTTACTTGAATAAAATTACTCACGTGTGCGCCGGGCTTAAGCATCGATTCGCACCGCTGGATATGACTAATGTGAGTGAGTGACAGGTGAGCCTCCCACACTTCTCCCCGAGAGGTGATGCCAATAGATAGAATGCCATCGCTGCTACTTCTAATAGCTGTTTTAGCGCCATCAACTGTTCCCATAATGAAGAGGTACATTACCTCGTCTAACCGTCGGGATAACGCGCAAACAAAAGTATATATAGCTAAATGTAGTAAAAAAGCGGCTGCTGTGTGCGCGATACAGTTATTCCTTCTACATGACAGTGTTGCGCACACAGCGCCATTGTACGTGAGCCGCGAGCAAGGTATATATTTGCTTTCGCAGACGATGACGCCATGCATTTTAATTTGCAGCGAAATTTATAATAACCGCCGTTGTTCTTGCGGTGGGAGGTAAGGGAGAGGGGAAGTTTTAGGGTAGGTCGCAATCGGCGCTTACACGGAGCTGCGACGAATTACGGTGGCGGTGACTGCTTACGGTGACGGTGACGGTGACAGCTTACGGTGACGGTGACTGCTTACGGTGACGGTGACGGTGACTGCTTACGGTGACGGTGACGGTGACTGCTTACGGTGACGGTGACGGTGACAGCTTACGGTGACGGTAACGGTGACTGCTTACGGTGACGGTGACGATGTCTGCTTACGGTGACGCTGACGGCTTACGGTGACGGCCTCGCGACACGTCATCGAAATGTTGTGAATGCGAAGGATGACCGCGCATGCATTCGATTGATTAGGCCTTCGTCTGCGACTGATCGAGCGATGGCTGCGACGCAGCGCGCGTGCCGATTTCAACTCGGCATGCAGCTCAATAACATTTAAATTGAAGTGTCACGAAATGACATGCGTCGGACTAAGTAAGCGGAGAAAGTGGCGCGATATTATGATTTTATTGGCGCGAGAATGCGACGTCGTCGAATGCGGTGTGTGTGTGCGTGCGTGCGTGCGTGCGTGCGTGCGTGCGTGCGTGCGTGCGTGCGTGTGTGGGTTATAATTGTGGATGGTGTGAGGTGGATAATTGGGCGAACATTTGCAGGGGGTCGCATGCGGCGTTTATCTCGCGAGGCGTGTTTAGCGGTGTTGTTCTAAACGGGCTGCAGTGCGGGAATGCGAGATGCGTGTCTGCGAGACGCTGCAGCAGAGTGCAGCAGTGTGCAGGAGAGTGCAGCAGAGTGCAAGCGCGCACTCTATCTTCGTGCTCGTATTTTGTTTGTGGGTTAATTGGCGAGAGTCGACGCGGCGGGTTCGTAACACGGAAAGCGCACGTGCTGATGAAAGAGCTGAGCAGGAGAAGGAAGAGGAGGAGGATCGGGAGGAGGAGGATGAGGAGGAGAGGCAGGAGAAGAAGAAGGAGGGGGAGGAGGAGGAGTTGGGTAGGAGAAGGAGGCGGAAGAGGAGGAGGAGAAGGAGGAGGAGGAGGGGGAGGAGAAGGGGTGAAAGAAGAGGAGAAGGAGGAGGAGGAAGAGGTCGAGCGAGAGGCCATCCTCAGTCGTCTGGCGTGCCACGTGCAGATTTCACCGTATTATCTCCACGGATTTCCAATTTTTTTGCGAAACTTCTATTTTATTCTTCTGTTATATTTCAATTTTTTGTCTCGTGAATTTCCACTTTTGTCTCACAAACGTCCAGTTTCGCCTTACAGATATGCAGTTCCTATGCACGGATTTGCCCTTTCTCACCGCGAATTTCCGGCATTTCTACGCAGTTTCCCTCTTCCTTGCATCTCATTTCCTCTCTGACATTTCTTCCCTTCTCTCGTCAGTACTATAACTAGTACTAAAACTATAACATCATACTATAAATTGTATTTTCTCGTCGTTTTGCAGAGATCAGAAAGACAGGAGCCGCTGCCGCCCACATGGCCGCGCGAGGCCACGTGAATCTCGGCGACCCCGAAGTGGAGACGGACTACCTTCCTGTCGACGACATGCCCGAGCCAGCCGTCGTCGACGACGCGCGCTGGTCGGACATCACGGCGCCCTCTGACGGCGACACGACGCCGCAGGTGTCCGTGCGCGAGACGACGAAGACGGAGCGCTCGTCGTCGTCGTCGTCGTCGGTCGTCGCGCGCGTCGAGCCGACCGACCTGACGCTGGCGAACGCGACGCGACGCGACGTGACGCTGACGCGCGCGATGTCGCCGCACGCCGTCGTGCGCATCGACAGCGCGCTGCCGCAGCTGATCTTCGCGAGCTGCGACGAACTGGTGTGCGACAACGGCGGCCGTTGCGTCGTCGCTGCCGACGACGACGATAACGATGACGACGTCGCCGAGCCCGTGGCGCGGTGCCAGTGTCCGCTGGGCTCTCACGGACAGTTCTGCCAGCACCGTACGTGACGCTGTGTTTGTTAGCTTTATTCGTCGAGAATTTTGTTCGTTTTTTTTTTACTTGCCGCCTCTGCTCCGCGCACTCGCTCCGTCTCTCCCTCTTTCTCTTTCTCTACCTCTACCTCTTCCGCTTCCACTTTTTCTTCGTAGTTCCCTTCTTTTTCTTCTGTTTGTTCTTGGTCTTTCTTTTCTTCTTCCCCGTTTTTTACTTCTGCTTGCTCTTGGTCTTCCTCTTCTTCTTCCCCTTCTACTTGCTTTCTGTATTCTTCTGGGAGGAGCACCCAAATCTTTTGTTCTCTTCTATTTGTTCTTTTTACTCTTCTTTTAGGAGGGGCACCCGAGTTTTATGTGTATAGACCCGCGTCCCTGCAGGGAATTATCGTACTAGGAAATTATCGTAGTCCGTTGAGTTACATGATCGATCGCGTTTTTTCACTGCTTGCACTGTTTGTCTTCGGTTATTTTTTACGCTGTTCTACGTGCTACGTTCTTACTCGGGGTCAAATACCAAAGATTGTTAAAAGTTTCGAGCGCAAGTTCTATCAGTGATCTATCAAGTTGATTCTATAACATTTACAGTGGGATTCGCTGTTCTGTACTTCCTTGCGCGTTTTCTAGCGGCTTTAGTGACCCCTCTCCTTTTCCCTATCTCCCACTTCTTACTGCATACACTGTCATCCCTAACATCGCACATTGCTGCACATATCTGAGAGAATGTGCGCATGCATTGCCATCTATTACGTCCTACCTGCAACAGCAAATATCTGAGATAACGACCGTATACACTAACATCAATTTTATCACGCTTTTCTATTTTTGCAACCGCAAATATACATGAAAATTTCCGTATACGTTGTCATCCATTACATCACATCTTGCAACCGCAAATTTTCGCGACGATTTCGTTCGACGTGCGCGTCCGGTGTATCTGCAATGCGTCTGTGCAATACTCAGCGTGTGTATCATCAGTAAGCTAGGATTTATGATTTACATCTACGCCAGCTTTCATACGTTCCTTCTATCCCGTGTTTACCCGCGTGCTATCCCCTCAGGAGTCGTCATCCAGTGGCCGAGATTCGCCGGCGACTCCGTGCTGCAGTTTCCCGTCCTGGAAAACTCCTGCACCGCCTTCAACGTGACGGTCGCCTTCCGGCCGGAGGCACTAAATGGCGTGCTGCTGTACGGCGGGGAACACTACGACCTAACGGGCGATTTCTTCATGATAGGCCTGCGAGCTGGAAAGGTAGAGTTCAGGTGAGTGCGAGGTGGAAAGGTAGAGTTCAGGTGAGTGTGAGGTGGAAAGGTAGAGTTCAGGTGAGTGTGAGGTGGAAAGGTAGCGTTCAGCTGAGTGTAATACGGCAAGGTCGATTTCAGGTGAGTGTAATATGGCAAGGTAGAGTTCAGGTGAGTGCCAGATGGCAAGGTAGAGTTTACTACTACTACCACTACCACTACCACTACCACTACTACTACTACTACTACTACTACTACTACTACTACTGCTACCACTACTACTAATACTAATAATAATAATAGTAATAATAATAATAATTATTATTATTATTATTATTATGATAATAATGAGCGATCGTAATGGGATGAAAATCTTCCTGGCGATTCATATCCCTCATGTTCTGATTTTAAGCGATTACATCCGCTTAAATCATTGTGTCAGAATTCCACAATGTTCGGCGTTTTTCATGTGTCGAATTTTCAAGTGAGCCTGTTAGGCACTAATAGGTGAAGATATTGGATGTAACTATGTGGTGAAAAGGTGATGGATTTTGGCAGTACAGTGACGCACGCGAACAGACGCTTGTACACACACGCACACATCCACGAACGTACGCACGCACACACGCACGAACGCACACCCGCCTGACAGTCCGCCCGCCCGCCCGTACACGGATACATGTGACGGGAAGTATACATTGTGACAAGTTTGGACTCGAGGCGACTAATTTTAGTTATTTCGGTTTAACGTTGACATTTTGCGCCACTACGTTTAACAGTAATTCACGTTGACAAGCAGTCACTGGCGCGACAACACTTTCAAACACTTTTGCTGTATTTCCCCAAAACCAGCCTATGCAGCATCGTGACATATGTTCTATTGTTGGTTAATGCGTGCACGTGACGTTGCCTAGTGCCGTGTGTGTGCGCACGGTCCGCCTGCCTATAGCGAAGGTGACTGGCGCAAAGAACGAGAGTTTGCTATCCTAAAGCTTCGGGAAAATGTTTTCACATGACGTTCAATGTTAAAAAGCTGATGTATTTTTTGACTGCAGAATCATTCCCGCTCGCTCGCAGTACATTGTATAAACACTGTGTGTGTCCGTGCGTGCGCGCGTGCATGTGACCGTACGTGTGCGCGTATACGTATGTGTGTGTGTGTGTGTGTGTGTGTGTGTGTGTGTGTGTGTGTGTGTGTGTGTGTGTGTGTGTGTGTGTGTGTGTGTGCGCGCGTGTGTGTAGTTATCTATTATTATTAGTTATTATTATTATTACATGATAGTTTCCTATTATTATTTGTTATATATTATATAGATGTAGTCTGGGCCAGCCGGCGGGAATGATTTTTGCAGCTAGTGGATGTATTTGTTGCTTGTTGGTAGATTCGACTGCGGCAGTGGCGTGGGCATTATCCGCGCACCAAAGACTGTAACCCTCGGTCAGTGGAACACCGTCCACCTGCGCAGGAAAGGCGTCCGTGCCTGGCTGTCCGTCAACGACGGGGAGCCCATCTACGGCAAGGCATTGGTATGTCTTCTTATATTATTGACTGTAGCAAGCGCTTTTAATTTCCGTCTGCGGGATCCCTTGTGTGTCCGAAATACTATAATCTGCGATCCGTACACCATACTGTAGATTGTGTTAGAGCTACGCACAGCAGTGTTTCTTAAGATTTGATGGCGGTACTTTATATGAGAGGTATATACAACAGGGTTCGTTATGATTTGATGGTGGTAGTTTATGCTAGAGGCATCTACAGTGGGATTCGTTGAGATATTCTAGAAATGTGTGTGCGTGATTAGAGACGTCTACAGCTCAGCGTTCGTTGTCCTGTGTTTCACTCGTGCGCTTTCTAGCGACCATACTCTCCCACGCGGGCACTCGCAAGATCTGTTTTGCATCCCAACGAAAGCACGCGGCACTTTGTGTGACGAAGTCGTTGCTTGGTTTCTCTTAATTAAGCGTGGAAAGGGTTTTTCTATGGCCGCATTAATGACTTCGTCCCGATGGTTTGCGTGCGATTTTGTCATTTTAATGTGGAATCATAACGGCCGCCTAGAGTTGACTAGACTTGTGGCGGCCAATTATACACACATGAATGGTAATGGCAGCTAACAGTGAGGGAAGATTGTAATATCGACTGATTTACGAATAATCTATGAATATTTAATCGATGTGTGTAATCGATTGTGGGACGTAAAATTTACTGGCTACCAGCTCTATTCATTCTTCTCTAATCAAACGCCCAATCCATTTATCATTTCAATCCATCCATTCCCATCCATCCATCCACCATCCATACCATCCATCCATCCATCCATCCATCCCCATCCATGCCAATCCATCCCTCCATCTATCCATCATTCCATCCATTTCTTTATATCCATCCATATATTCCATCCATCCATCCATTCATCCATCCATTCAATCCATCCAAAAATCCATCCTATTCCATCCATCCATCCAACCATCCATCCATCCATCCCCATCCATTATCCATCCAGCGCGACCCATCCATCCATCCATCCATCCATCCATCCCATCATCTCATCCATCCATCGCATCCCATCCATCCATCATGCCATCCATCCATCCATCCATTCCAATCCATGTCCATCCATCATCCATTCACGCCCATTCATTCAATCCGGGATACGGAAGACAGCTGCTCACTTGTTATGTGTAAAGTTGCTAAGTGAATGCAGTGTACCATGTCCCACCCGCTGTCTCTTAGTAAGCTATAAAATTCTTCTACACAAATTCACTTTTCAATGCACTCAGTCGGTCAGTCGGTCAGTGACGGTCAGAAGCACTCACACACGCGCCGCGCGTATATTTATCGTGATAGAACGCAATTTTACCCCTCTCCTCGCCATATTTTATTTCGTATACTTTCTTCACAGCTCACGCGCAATTCTGTTTGCAAATTTACCAGTTCGTTCGATCGCGAATAACCGAGAGTTGTTATCACCCACGAGTGCCGAATAATTTTTCCGCGTCAAAATGGCGTTTGACGTCGCACCGCGTGCGCATGCGTGTCCGAGAGTGACTATAGTGTTCAAGTAATCGTATCGGCATTCAAGCCTCGCCTCGTTATTCATTCACGAACATTTGTATTTCCACTTGTATTTTTTTTTTTGTATTTTTATATTTGTTTTTGCATTTCTTCCTCGTTGCGGCGAGTGGCATTTCTGAAGAACAGCCTAACTGATTTGGCTTGAAACTCAAAGTTACAGATAACCGCGTCATATCGCGTTGCTCTTACGTCAGTAATGCACGCCCGTGTTGAAATGCAGATATCGTATGCACAAACGGAATATCATCACGCTCTCGCTCTCTGTCTCTGTCTCTCTCTCCTCTCTCTAGTCTCTCTCTCTCTCTCTCCGCTCTCTCTCTCTACTCTCATCGTCTCTGCTCTCTCGCTACGATCGTCTCTCTCTCTCATTCTCATCTTCTCTCTCCTCCTCTCTCTCTCCCATCACTCTCTCTCTCTCGCTTCTCTCTCCTCTCTCTCTCTCTCTCTCATCTTCTCTTCTCTCTCTCTCTCGCTCTCCTCCTCTCCCTCATCTCTTCTCCCCTTCTCTCTCTCTCTCTCTTCCTCTGTCTCGTCTCTCTCTCTCTCTCCTCTCTTTCTCATCTCTCTCTCCTCTCTCTCTCGCCTCCTCCATCATCTCTCTCGTCTCTCTCTCTCTCTCTCCTCTTCTTTCCTCGTCTCTCTCTCCTCTCTCTGCCCTCTCCTCTCTCTCATCTCTCGTCTCTCTCTCTCGTCTCTCTCTCCTCCCTCGCTCTCTTTACTTCTCTTTCAACCGTCATTCTCTCTCTCTCTCTCGTCTTCTCCTCTTTCTCCTCCCTCCTCCTCTCCCCCTCCTCTGCTCGCTCGTCTCTCCTCTCCCGTGTCCTCCCTCCAGTGCTCTTCTCCTCTTTCTCTCTCCTCGCTCTCCCCTTCTCCTCTCTCACTCTCTCTCCTCCTCTCTTCTCATCTCCATGTTCCTCCTTCTCTCTCGCGTCTCTCTCTCTCTTTCTCTCTCTCTCACACGGTTCTGCTCAGAAAGTTAGAACTAAGTGCCCAGTGAGAAACGCATTCAATACACAAGGTAGTCAGTAACAGAACCAAACCATTACATCGCCACATCGTGAGCCGAATGTGTAAGAAAATCTATGCGTTCGGGCGAATGGCCAACCCAGCCTTGTCACAGGCTTCCATCGAGGCCGCACAGGGAAATAAAGGACTTGCCTACTACCGGTGGGCCACAAGATCGTTTAGCTCAATAACTTCAGAAGACGATTCCGAGATGAACACAAGTAATACATATTTGCCCCTCTATTCCACTCCCACCCAGCCAAAAAAACCTCCCAGTATATTCATATGCCTATGCTACATCGGATATATTCTCAGGGGCTGTAACGGATTGATCTTAGTGGCGGCGGTTTATATAAGGAATATAAATATATGAGCATGATTCACCTGTCGTTGATTTCGGATGTATGGTCTATTGATTCGGAAATATTGCCTTGAATGTCTGAGCAAATGCCTGATTGAAATTCGGTATGATCGCTGCTGCAGCCACCGTGACTGGCATGCTAGTTGAATAATTGTATACGGGCTTCCTTACCGCTGTCACTAAGCCATTTTTTACTGTGCTACCACCAATTTTTGAACGTTCTTATTCGATTTACTTTCGTGACGCGTGTATATAGCGAAGTGTTTTTTGCCAAACTCCAATAATTATCCCTTACAGGGATACTCTAATTTCTTCTATGAAATATTCCTAGTTGGAATCGTGCGGATGAGGCCATGGAGCCCGGGTTCTTGAGTTTTAATTATTTTGAAATTCCGAACGTTAATGTCGTACATGGTGCATAAACTAATGTCAACACACAAGGTAAACGGAAACATGGGCTTGTTGTGCAGGAGTAGTAGCAATAGAGGCACATGCATGCTGCTGCGATACGGCAGGCACTAGCAAGAGCAAGACGCAAGCAAATGCCAGCAGCAGCAGCAAGCAGCAGCAGCAGTCAAGCAACGAAACACAGCATCAGCCAACCACAAGAAAGCAGCGGCGTCAGGCAAAAAGCAGCAGCGCTCAACAACAGCTAGACAGCGTTCAACAGGCCCAGCAGCAGGACCTACCAGCAAGAGCAACACAGCCAGGCAGCAGCAGCAGCAACAAGCAGCAAGGCAACAACAAACATCGTGAAGCAGCAGCGTCCAACAGCAGGCAGCAGCGACAATAACAGCAGTGTCTCATCGTCTGCGCTGGGCTAAAATGACCAAGCGGGTCGTGCGAAAGTGCGTGCGCGTGTGGTGGTGGTGTGTGGCCCGGCGTGTATGCGCGGTGTGTGTGTGTGTGTGTGTGTGTGCTGTGTGTGTGTGTGTGTGTGTCTGTGAGTGTGTGTGTGTGTGTGTGTGTGGTGGTGTGCGTGCGTGCGTCGCGTGCAATGCGTGTTTGTGTGTGCGGTGTGTGTGTGTGTGTGTGTGTGTGTTGTGTGTAGCGTGCGCAGAGCGCGTGTGTCGCGTACGGTGTGGTGTGTGTACGTGTGTATGCTACGCGTGCGCGCGTGTTCGCCGATGTATTGTAGCCTGCGAAAAGCACTAGACCACAAGAGAGCTTGACGATATTCTGAATAGTAGTCGCGCGTATGCGGGAAGAGAGACACGATCCTTCGTGCGGTGAAGGACCATTCGCACAGTGTTCCCTACGAACGCTATAGATATATCAGCATTTAATACTGCGTCCTATACGATGCACATCGGATATACTACAGGAGCGTGACTTGTGCTATAGGTCGCTCCGTCATGAGGAGAGCTGGGCCACCGCTAACCACCCGCGAACTAGGGTGAACCTACAAACTGATGAAACATACATGGAAACCTTTCTGAAGCCCTACATGCTTAGGCTGTTTCCATCCGATGAAATTTGATTGATATGAAAACAACATTTTAGGAGATCACGTGCTTAAATTGACATTTAATCAAACTGGAAATTAAATGTCCTTTCAATATCAGTAATAAATTATGGTTTGCGAGCCGTGCAGGCTTTTACTCATTATGGACGGGACTCGATCTATCTTTTAAGCCGGAATTTCTCCGTGTCATTGCAATTAGAACCGCGACGAGTGGTCACGCGAACGAAAGCTTGCCATTCAATAATTCCAATCGCGGCTAAGTGGGCAAATGACCGGTGCAAGGGTTTCTATTGAATAACCCCATATAACTTTACGGCAGGGGCGTGTAACAGGATTTGTACGCAGGGGGGGGGGGGTCATAACCAGTACATGAAACTCCAAAAGCTTATGCGACCACGCAGAGGGGGGTCTGGCAGAGAATTTTTGACAAAGATAGACTCGGGCCTTAAATGCGTTTTCTTGCGGGCGAGCAGGGGGGGGGTCCCGGTACCCCCTGGACCCCCCCCCCCCTTTGTACAGCCCCTGTTTACGGTACAAGTGATGATTAAATCGTACACTGTCGTTATAATTATAGCGCCGTTAGAATAACACGCGGTTGCTAATCCACATATCGCACAGGTTCCGGAATTACGAATTTCTGCTACATCAATTGTTTTCCCAATTAAAACCATCCTTCTGGCGTTCTCTGTGATGAGCAA